ATGATATCTGATAGTTCCCCATCTACATTACCATGGTATCTGATAGTTCCCCATCTACATTACCATGATATCTGATAGTTCCCCATCTACATTACCATGGTATCTGATAGTTCCTCATCTACATTACCATGATATCTGATAGTTCCCCATCTACATTACCATGATATCTGATAGTTCCCCATCTACATTACCATGGTATCTGATAGTTCCCCATCTACATTACCATGGTATCTGATAGTTCCTCATCTACATTACCATGATATCTGATAGTTCCCCATCTACATTACCATGGTATCTGATAGTTCCCCATCTACATTACCATGATATCTGATAGTTCCCCATCTACATTACCATGGTATCTGATAGTTCCTCATCTACATTACCATGGGTGTTCCATCCATTCCACCGTGTTCCCCTTCACTGTGTCATTCCTTCATATCCTGTCCGTTCCCCATTACCATGGTATTAATTCCCTCATCTACATTACCATGATATCTGATAGTTCCCCATCTACATTACCATGGTATCCCCGATAGTTCCCCATCTACATTACCATGATATCTGATAGTTCCCCATCTACATTACCATGATATCTGATAGTTCCCCATCTACATTACCATGGTATCTGATAGTTCCCCATCTACATTACCATGGTATCTGATAGTTCCTCATCTACATTACCATGATATCTGATAGTTCCCCATCTACATTACCATGGTATCTGATAGTTCCTCATGTACATTACCATGGTATCTGATAGTTACCCATCTACATTACCATGACATCTGATAGTTTCTCATGTACATTACCATGATCTACCATGGTATCACCTTAGTATAATACAGTATACATGAACTTGTGGTTAATGCATGCTCGGCAACTGGACTGTATAGCTCAGTTGTTTAGACTTGCACTGGAATCCCAGGTTCGTTTCCTGTCTAAGGGCCAATAATTGCATTAATGGCAGAGTATCCGAGTTTGGAGGTAGGTGCCGTTGGTGGCCAAGGCTAGTCGGCGATCTAGCCTTGTCGGGCAAATGACCGCAATGGCAAACATTAGGCAAAACACTGGCAAACATTTATGGCAAACTGGCAAATGGCAAAACTGGCAAACAGCAATGGCAAACAGCTATGGCAAAACAGCAAAAAACGTAATAATAAGGCTAATTATAGTAGCAATAGGAGTTTGCCATGACAATTCTGCCAAGGCAGACCTCCGGCACCTGTCACACTGATGATCAGTGGAAAAAAGGACGCATTCTATGGTAGTCTATAGATTGTATCCTATAAAGAAAAACAAATAAAAAACAATCCGATACAACCAAAACAAAACAACAAAAAACAAAGCTAAAACAAAAATAAAGAAATTAACTCGAGTATCAACAAACATTAACCAGGGTGGGGGCGAAGGGAACAGAGCGAAAGAGCAGTTGTAGCTGGCTAGCCAAGCTGTAGCAAAGTGACGGATGCGCGATAATTGCAACTGTTCTAAGTGACGTCAGGGGCTCCCCGCTGCTAGATACATCTGCCGTTAACTTCGCTTAAATCTACGTTTAACCACATTAAATCAGTAAAGACTGATTTCAATACAGCGCAAATATCGATCCAGACTATTTCACATTTGCGAGCAAGACTTGATGAAGACAGCTGAGACTAAATGAAAACCAGACTTGATGGTGTTTTATTGATATTTTGTCAACACTTCAGCTCAGTGCAAAATACCAGAAACACAAAAAGAATTAAAGAAGTATTTCAATGTGTAAATCCTTTTAGCTAAGTTGTAAAATTTATTTGCATATTTTAGGAGTGTATCTTCAGTGCGAAGTGGTGAAAGTCAACGTAGTGTTGGTTCAGTGAATATTTCTTTAGACCTTGACGAGAAACCTGCTGTTGGTAAGTCATGTAAATGTAGGAACAACTAGGGTTGGGCAATATTTCGCTATTTTGATTTATCGCGATATTTTCAATCGCGATTATCGTATCGAAGGTAGAAACTTGAGCGACGATATATCGAAATTATCGTCATGATCGATGACTATCGTGATATTGTTTTGCATGTGTATATAGCTTTTATAAAATCCTAAAAAATTATTTCATTTCGAAATGAATACGATGCAAAAGCTAATATTTATGTATTAATCCGCTGAACAATGAAATTGCAGCCTT